GTACTATTGTTCAGGGTAATATGTCCATTACTCAATATTATACTAGCTTTAAGTCTATGTGGGATGAATATGTGACTTATCGACCGATTTTCAAATGTGTATGTGGTGCTCTTACTGATTGTACTTGTAAAATTTTTGAGGCAATGGCTACTGCTCAACAAAATGACTGTGCTATGAAATTCTTAATTGGCCTCAATGATACCTATTCCTCACTCAGAAGTCACTTTCTTCTTTCCAAACCTCTACCACCACTTGCTACTATATATTCTCTACTTCTTCAAGAGGAAAGCCAGCGCACCCTTTCAAACAACACAACAACCTCTGATTCACTTGCTATGCTTGCTAAATCCCTTTACTCCCAACACCAGACTCATAACAAACCATACCAGAACAAACCCCCAAATCCAAACTACAACAGAGATAAGCCCCGCCCCAAATGTTCCCACTGTGGACACCTTGGCCATACTGTTGACAGATGCTATCAGTTGATTGGATATCCTCCAAATTGGGTTGGCTCTAAGGGGCCTAGACCACCCAAATCTCACTCTGCAAATATTGTCTCATCTGAATCTGTCTCACCCAAACCTGTTGATACTGATGTCCATGAAGATACTAACAGTTTATTTCATGAGTTTCTAGCATTTAAGAAGTCACAGGAGCAGAAACCCATAGTTTCTACAACTCCTGTGCTTGCTACTGCTATGGCTGAGCTATAAGGTTTGTCTGAACCCTTATCATGTATGGCTACTACATCTTTATGCAAAACAACATGGATACTTGATACAGGGGCAACTGATCATATGCTATGTACTCCTGATTTTTATACATCTGATGTTCATTCTGTTTCTGTTAAAATCAATCTTCCAAATGGTAATCATGCCATTGCATCCAAAACAGGACATGTTCAATTATCTGACACTCTAACACTCTTTGATGCATTATATGTTCCATCATTCTCATTCAACTTAATATCTGTCTCTAAACTGGCTACCACCAGTAACTGTGTTGTCAAATTCTTGTCTTCCTCCTGCATTATACAGGACCTACACAGCCTCAAAATGATTGGTTCTGCTGATCATAAAGAAGGGTTATATCATCTCAACATAGATTTTAATAAACATGTTTCAAATGTAAATGCTGTTTCAAATGTAACCTCTCATTTACCTGTAAATGCATCAAATGTTGTTAGTGACTCATCCTTGTGGCATTACAGATTGGGACATCTTTCTTATTCTAAACTCAATACTCTGTCTCTATGTCCATCTGCTAATAAAACTTTTGCTCCTTGTGATGTTTGCCATTTTTCAAGACAAAAGAGGTTACCTTTTGCTGATAGTACTTCAACTTCTGATCATCCTTTTGATTTAATTCACTGTGATGTTTGGGGTCCATTCTCAACTGCATCTCATTCAGGTCACAAATATTTTCTCACCATTGTAGATGATTATAGTAGAGTTACTTGGATTTATCCAGTTATTCTAAAATCTGACATCAAACATCACCTCAGTCATTTCTACAACATGGTTTTAACTCAATTTGATAAGAAAATCAAGATTATTAGAACTGACAGTGGCACTGAATTTTTTCTCAAACAATTCTATAATGATCATGGCATATTACATCAAACATCATGTGTTGAGACCCCTCAACAAAATGCAAGGGTAGAAAGAAAGCATCAGCATCTCCTTCAAGTAGCTAGAGCATTATTATTCCATGCTCATCTTCCTTTGCATTTTTGGATTGACTGTGTATTAGCTGCTGCCCACATTATAAACAGAGTTCCCACCCCCATTCTTCAAAACAAACCTCATTTTGAAATGCTTTATAATAAACCGCCCACTTATGATCACATGAAAGTCATTGGTTGCTTGTGTTATGCCTCTACTCTTGTTGCTAACAGAAACAAATTTGATCCCAGGGCTTCTAAGTGCATTTTTCTTGGGTATCCAATGGGTTGTAAATGTTATAAACTTTACAACCTAGATACCAAGAAGACATTTATTTCCAGGAATGTCATATTTTATGAAAGTGTGTTTCCCTTCTCTGATCATTCCTCTTCTGATATATCTACTCCATTATTTCCACAACCAGATTCACTATTTTCTTTTGATGACACTCAACACACCTCTACACTTCCTGCTTTACCTATCAATGATGTCTCTAATCACAATTCCCCTCCTTCCCCACAATGTTCATCTCCATCACATCCATCTCAACCTCCTTCCCCACACTCTAACCCCATCTCCTCTCCTACTGTACCTCCACCTGTTACTTCTGTCCAACATTCCTCCCCTAACAGGAGAAAATCTTCCAGAACTCATAAAATCCCTGCTTATCTGAACATTTACAAACACTCTGTCAATCATCATGCTGCTCCTTGTTCCACAAACACACTTTCAGACACACCTGGAACATCTCAATACCCAATATCTGATTTTCTATCTACTGAAATGTTATCTAATTCCCATAGCTGCTTTACTGCTTCTATATCCACTATATGTGAACCCAAAACTTACAAACAAGCAGCAAAAGATCCTTTATGGGTAGAGGCAATGCAT